TCTGCCCTTGGAAATATCCTACAGCAACAAATGTGTCTATTTAAACGTAAAAATCTCTGTTGACAGTTTCAGAATAAATTAAATATCATTCTGAAAGCAAACAAAAACAGGGATATTTGGGGATTAAACTTTTACAAGTAACATATGCAGCTTTTCTCCATACCAGTATGTTCCCCAGGACTCGGTGCTCAGCATCATAGTAAACAAAGAATATAAGCACAATATGTTACAGCATTGCCACATGAAAACCCCTTGCAATGTTTTTGCTGAATCTGCTAAGATCATATAACATTTTTACTCACTAATAAAAAGACAATGCACTTAAAATAGGGCAATGTGTTTAAATAGTCCTTTCTCCAAGAAAACATAGCAATGGCCCCAAAGCACATGACGGTTGTGCAGTATCATCACCATCAAGGGAAACGTAAATCAAAACCACAATGATGCATCATTTCACTTCCATCAGCATGGCTATTGTCAAAAGGACACAGTGAGCACTGGCAGAGATGTAGAGAAGTTGGAGCCCTCGTACACTGCTGCAAAGAATATAAAACGGTGCAGCCCTTTGGAAGCCGTGTGCTGGTCTCAAGAGCTCACACACCGAGCTGTCGTTAGCCCAACATTTCTATTCTAGGGACATACTCAAGGGACTTGAAAATATGCCCATGAAAAAACTTTGACACAATGTTTATAGTGGCATTTTTCAAAATACCAAATGCCCATTAGCCGATGAAAAGGCAAATAAAATGTATACAATGGGCTATTATCCAAGAATGAAAAGCATGAAGCAGTGGTGTGTGACACAATGTGGATGAACCTTGAAAACATTATGCTATTACGCTATGCCAGTCACATTAAAAATGCACATTATATGGTTCCATTTATATAAAATATCCAGAAGCAAGCTGATAGAGACAGAAAATAGATTCACTTGCTAATAGCCAGGAAAAAGAGATGATGAGAGGACCTGCTCAAGGTGACGAGATTCTTTCTGAAAATGAAAATGCTCTCATGTTTTGACAATGGCTACACAACACTGAAAATACTGCAAAACCCTGAAATGTCAAGCAAAAACATTTCTTTTGTAAATCGTTTCCTGTTTTCCTCAGTCTTCTAGAATGATTCATACATAGATCAGACAAGTGCTTTCTCTACTGGACAAGATAAAATCCTGTCTAGAACTCAGCAACCTCTATAACTGATTTTAATTTCATGTATATTTTAGTTTTTTACTGTCTGCCAATCAGTATTAGATTTCAAAAGCTGTAAAAAGTCTCTCCTCACTTCTGTGAGTTTCCATCACATAAGCAGAAAGCTCTATGTACAGCAAGAAAATTCTTACAAAACACCAAAAGACATGCTACAATAGATACAATTATACAGAATATATTCACATGCAAAAATAGGAGCAAAGGAAAGAGCAAAAATGAAGCTCCTTAAAGATAATGCACATTCTGAGTTATCTTTTAAAGATGTCAGTAGAATTATCTTTTTTAAGAGTGAGAAGAAACTAATGTTCCCTCTACAGCAGGAACTAGCTTGTACATCATTAATCATTAACCAGAAACAAATTTAAATAAATTCGTTTCTTCCCATGGTGAGTTTATAATCCTTGAAAATGTCTGACAGTCTTTAACCATCCAACAGATGATCACCAATCGGAGTCCTAGCAACAATTCTATTGTGACTGAAAATTCTCCCAAACTTGATCCAGGGAGACCTCCTCTGGAGATAAGGGAGAAGTTCAGTCTAGAGTTCAAACATTAGGCTATGCTCAAAGCCAATAAAGAAAGCTCTATTTTATTTTTATTTTGTTTATTATTTTTATTTAGCATCTTTCTTTCTGTGTAGCTCATACGAGTCAGTTGCCAAAGGCATCATAATCAGCTGCACTTTATGAAATGTTGGGAAAGAAATTATCATCAGAATCATTAAAAACTGGAATGCTAATTACTTAGGTCAAATCCATCTGGCCCAATTTATCTTGCTTGAAAACAAAGACTGTTCAAGAAAAGATTTGTTGTGAAATGACTTCCTGCTTCACTATAAATTAGAGAAAACAGTGACTGTTAATAACCATTAGAGAATCAAGCTCATTTGTTGATGAATATACCCATACTTGGTAGCGTAACTATTTTAGTAACCCTTACTGACACTGACTCTGTATTTTAAATACATATCATACAAAGTATGAACATGATATATGTATACAGAGGGCATTACTGCAACCTATAATAAGCTACTCTAAATCAACCTCCTTCATATCTGACCCTATGCACAGCTCCATGGCAGATGATTAGCATATAAAGAGATGCTAAAGAGGGTCTGTGCCTGCAGGAACTACAGAGACAGTTATAAAGACAAGAAATAAACTTAGGGCAACTACTGACATCAGCTTATAGAAAGTCCAGACAAGTAAATGCTACCACACCTTTTTCATGAGGTGCTGGGAATCAAGCCTAGAACTTCTGCATGCTAGGCAAACACTCTACCAAGTAAGCTACAATTCCAGCCCCAATAGTCAATTCTTGACCAGGATTTCACAAGCTACCATAATATGCCTAGGTACCTCTAGAACTTCCTATCTTCACCCTACCTTCAACTACATCCTGTCCTTTCCTGGGACAGGAGGTGGATCCTCTCTTTGTGCCTGCCCACGTACAATTCCTCAGGAAGACCCAGTCCATGTCATTGCCCACAGTGATCAGATAGAATAGTACATAGGCATGCTATGACAGGTTGTGAAATGCAGACCAAGAACTGGCGATCAGTGGATAGAGAGCCTGCCTAGAGTGCAGGAAGTTCTGTATTTGAGTCCCAACACCTCATAAAATAAGTGTGATAGCACATGCCTGTGATCTCAGCACTAGGGAAGTGGAGGCGAGATGATCAAGAGTTTAAGGTTATGCTTGGCTGCAGAGGAAGTTTGAGGCCAGCCTGGGATCCATGGCTCTGTCTACAGAGAGGCGGTAGGGGTGGGAGGAGAAAAAAGAGGAGAAGGATGGGGAGGAAGGGGGTAGAGGGAGAAGAGGAGGGAGGGGGAGAGGGAGAGGAAGAGGGAGAGGAGGAGGGGGAGGAAGAGGAAGACAACAATGACTGGCTCTCAATTTAATGAAGAAAACACAGGCAGGGAAACTATTATAATATTGCATCAACCCAGGTCCAAGTAGAAAATCCTAAACCCCAAAAGAAGAATTGGGAATGGAGACAAAAGAGCTTGAGACACTTTATATAAAAGAAGAAAAAATCGTTGTAAAAGAATTTGGCCTTGGCCCCACATTAGCCAATTAGAGAATCCAGATTTGTTTGATGAAGAAAAAAGAGAACGTGTGCAGAACGCTCAATAGCGGCTGCCTCACTCCTTTGGGGCTTCAAAGGCTGTATGAAATTTCTCCTCTCATCTGCTAGTCACTTCTTTCTCGAAGTCAACTTTGCCTTTCCTTATCTTGATATTGTGGTACCCACAAGTTACCACTTTTCTCAACACAAGCAGTAAGGGCAAGTTTTAAAGACACAGCACAAGCCATTCTTGTGTCGTTATCCCGTCATATTTTAAAATGCAGCAACCAAAATATAAACTTGCAGAACATATGATTTAGCAGGTGATCTTGTGTTGCCATAAAAATGCTACATATGGAATTAAATTAAGAAACAAAGTCCTCCAGTAGATTTAACCTGAAAAGCTTACCAATAAAGATAAAGCTGGCTGGCGTTTGGGGGGCATTCTCATTGTTTTTCCCTTATCAAACCACCACAGTTTACACATGCACGTGCCCAAACGTACACAACCTGAAAGACACACTCACCCGCTACAGATTCCACGTTATCCTTTGACTATAACACTGATCACTCTTAGAAGTCATGCTGTGTTTAAGCATGCAATCTAATATTTCAGACAACTTATCGAGACCAGAAACGAAGACTTGAGTTTAAAAAGCTGTGCTTCTGATTTCTTAACAGCTTTTAACCTTTTAGCACCCAAAGTCCAATTAAAATGTTATGTTTGAAGCACAACAAAACAAAGAAGTTAGAAGCAGCTACCTGAGGTCTTACAGTAAATGCAGTAGTCTGCTGCCAACATCCACACTGTTGCTGCCATGGTAGATTCTCCAATCACCTGGCTAGGGAATCTCAGAAGAATTCTAAGATTTTATTAAACAAAATACACTGCACTTCCTTTCTCTTAAAAATTAATATGTCCTGACATATCACAGAAAGATGAAGGAAGAGAATAGAAAGTTAAAACTGCCATGTATCTGAGCTCTAGACAATAAGGCTTTTAGCATTTAGATGTCATGTAATGTACAAAGCTTCAGGAACTCAGCGGTGCCACTTACTACTTAGTAGGGAGTGTAAATATTATCAACAGATCTCCCTGGTAAATACATAGGAACAAACTGGCCAATGCTACGAAGGCACAGTATTTAGTCTGATGCCTTGTAAGAATGAGAAAACAAAGGGTCACTGGGGATAGATGTTGACAAAATCAAATGCAATTAAAATGGGTATTCTGAAACAAAAAGTTGAGTCAGTAAAATTAAAGTGCTCTAATTAATTGGACTGTACAATTCTCCACAGCACAACTATAATGATAATAAATGCTATCAAGATAAAAACTTACTGGGACTATAAAATGAACTTAGTCAACTAATACATTTACATAACTCTAAAAAGCTTTTCCATTTAATGTGAGGCCACTACCATTTAAGCATCAATAAAATTCACCCAGACCCAAAGTACCCTAAGGCCTCTGCGTACAGTCACAGAGAACATAGCCTGGTTCCGGGTGGTAGCAATTTTAATTTCTTGAACTAAAATCTCTCATTAAAAAAAAAAAAAATTAAGCTTTGAGTAGGGAGCATGCCTGCTGCTTTTTTTGCTGCTCTGTAAGGTAAAAGCATTCAGTCCACACAGGGTCTGTTTGGATCGTTCCCACAATGTCCTCTCCTCCCACCACTCTTCTCTGCCCAGTGAAAGAGGCTCAGAGGAATGGTACTTACTTCCTCTCCTCCAGCAGGGCGATCTCCTTTTTGACTTCATGGTATTCTTCTGCTATCTGGCAGTGCTGTTTGAACACCTGCATGGATTCCACGGAGTCATGACAAGGTGGTAGAGGCTTTGCAAACAACAAGGAGAAGCAGTCAGTCCATTTCTTTGCATTGGAACACATTACCAACCACTCTGCTCTGCTGATATTCTTTACGGGGAGATTTTTTGGATGAAAGCAGCATTGTCAATCAACGTAGCACAGAGTTAGGCTGATTCTACTTGACTGAAGGTAGAGGCGTGAGATGATCATCCTGACATTTATCTTCCTGTGACATTCATGAGCATCGCACTCCTGAACTAGAGCCCTGAGACTCATTACATGTCAGTTACTTGCCATGTGCTGGATGAAAAATAGATCTCCCGATGATTTGTGATTCTCCTCAGAAATCTTAACCTGCATTAGAAGAACTCAACAGAGATACTTGAGTTGGCGGTTTTGGTTACCCCTTGCTTAGAAGCCTGTGGTCCATAGGCATAATCTCCTCAGAGTGGAGACGCCCTTTGAGAAAGGCTCTCTTGTGAGAAATGTGCTCACCTTGAAGAAAAGACACTGGGCTAGAAGTGATACTGGCAAGAATGAGCAAACTGGTAAGGAAGACCAAACCATAAAACCCTGCTTATAGCATGGGAGGTGGAACTGAGAACAGATTTGAGTTTCTCCTTTCCTCCCATACATGAGGAAAGTAGGTGCACATGGCAAACCTTTCTGGATATAACATGGAAAAAAACATCCTACTGAGCTGGATAGCTTTATTGTCAACTTGACATGCCAGGGTAGAGGCAATCTCAACTGAACAATTTCCTCGATTGGGTTATCCTGTGGCTATATCTGTGGGGCATTTTCTTGATTGATGAGTGATGCCTGGTGGCCCAGCCCACTGTGGGTGGTGCCACCCCTATGCAGCCGGTCCTATGCTGCATAAGAAAGCAGGCTGTGCACAGGCCAGAGAAGCAAGCCAGTAAACAGCATTCCTCCAGGGTCTGTGTTTCAGTTCCTGCCTCTGGGTTCCTGCCCTGATTTCCCTCAATGATGAACTGTAACCTGAAAAATATAAGATAAAATAAACCCTTTCTTCCCCGAGTTGGTTTTGGTCAGTGTTTGCATCACAGCAATAAGAAGAAACTGAGACACCTATTTCCAGAAATCATTTTTAATGAATTAGTTTTCCATGAGTTTTTTATTCTAATTTCTACATCAGTAACATGTCATTAAGAACACTACTCTTAGGAATAGGAGTTAATTGTCTTCTAAAGAGTTTTTACTCACCCTCCTCATTTACTTTCAGGAAAATATATAAAATCTGAGAAACACAAGTTTATTAGTAACACAGACTCTTCAGCCTCATCCTTCATTATAATTATATTGGTGAACAACGCATCTGACTAGTTTCAATTCTCACTCATTTATATGACTAACTAACAAATTTCTTACTATTTGTCCCTCATATTTTTTCAAGCGCATGGATTTCTCTGGATGTCATATTTAGTGACCCAGGAAGTAACAAAAATTCAACAAAGTTTATGGTCTGACTGAGAGCTATGACCACCTCCATTAAAAGGTAATAAAATTCTAAATAGCTGTTTGCATATATTAAAGTGTCACAATGAACTCCATTAATATGCAGAAGGAATAAATATTAATAAAAAGATCTAAAATAGTTCTAAATTCTAAATAGATTAGGACTAAATTTATTTCATATGAAATATCTGTTATTACATAATTCATGTAGAATTGGTATTTATGCAGCATCTTTCCCTGCATTCCTATGAGCATGTCCATAGCATCCACTCACCCTATTGGAACCACTATCCTGTTTCAATGTAGAAACAAATGGAGAAGTAGGGCATGATAGTACTATAATATAACTTGCTCCAAGAGATGAAGCTGTTGCCAAAGGAATTTAGAACTCCTGGCTCCTCCAGTCTGTGTCCCAGAAATTGCAACCCACTCACCAATTTTCACCTGCTGCCCTGGCAAGTTACCAGGTATAACAGTCAGTGGAATGAAAGTAATGTACCCCAAGCTCCCGAGCCAAGCTTTTAAATCATCCGTGCCGTTAAGGGATTTGCCTACTGGCAGCCCTAAGATTACACATCCTATCCTGTCCTCATGAACACCACATAAGCCACACTCGGTTCAAACAGGGTTCAGCGCATTGGTGTCACCTACAAGCACATGAACCGCAGATTCGGCAGCTGCTGAATGTCACAGCCAGAAGAGTCTAGAGTTCTGCATAAAGGATTTGCATGCCTCAAAGAGTATAGGTGAGAGCAGCTGGTCAGGGCAGACACGTCCTCCCTGCTGTGCTTTCAAAGGAAAACTGAAAACCACAGAAGCATTTCCTGACAAGGAGGGAGGTTTCTACTATTCCACTCTTTGCTCGCCGCCTTGCAATCCTTTTTATTAAATGGGACTTCTTTTTACTGCTTCATATTTAATTGGAAATTTAGCATTCCGCCACTGAGTTACATCCCTGGGCCTTTCAAAAAATTTTATTTTAAGACAAGTCTTACTAAATTGTATTGAATTCACCATGTAGCCCCAGCAGGTCTCAAACCTATCTCTTCATGCTTCCCAAATAACTGGGATTATAGCTGTGCATCTGACTAATGAGCATCTCTTAACTACAGAAATTTAAAGACATTGTGTTTTAGAAAAGGAAGGACATGCCGGGTGTGGTGGTGCACACCTGTAGTCCCAGCACTTGGGAGGCAGAGGCAGGCGGATCTCTGAGTTCAAGGCCAGCCTGGTCTACATAGTGAGTTCCAGGACAGCTCAGGCTAAAAGACCGAAAAAGAGGAAGGAGGCCTGTGGGGGGAAGGGAAGGGACAAGAGAAGATAATGGTGAGGCGAATATAATTCAAGTACACTATAATCATAGATGAAAACATCATAATGAAACCTATTTTTTATAACTAATACCTGCTTTTAAAAATATTTGAAAGTTAAGGGATGTGTTAGTATTCTCTCTACTCCCAGTTCCTCTATGTTCCATGAGGTGTAGAGGTGTAGGTGTAGAGTTTCCACGGTAGATGTGTCACTTAGGGCTGGGCATCTCTCAGAGATATATTCTCTGTTCTCTGTATGTGACCAGTTGTGGAACTCTGCAGTAGCCTCCATCTGTTGCGAAAAGAAGCTTCTTTGATGAGTGGTGTACAGTACACTTGTCTGTAAATTAAGGATCTGTATTTAGTGTACAGTAAGAAATTTTATTTGTCTAGAGATATGACAGAAATAGGGTTCTCTCTAGGATCTATGAGTGCCACCCATGAGTTCCCTCCCATTGAGAGGGCTTTAAATCCAATTAGATAGTGTTGATTACCCCCAAGATAAAAGTGCCACTATTGCACCAATAGAGATAGTTGCTGTGCTAGTCATTGTGGTTATTAGGCTTTTACAGCTGGTTGACCATTGATATTCTCCCTTGACAGCTTGTGTAGCATCCTCTAGAACTATGAGGGCTAGTCTTCAGGGAGAGCCTTCCAGGTCAGTTCCAGCTTCATTGCTCCAGTTCCTGTGTCCAAAGTATGTCCTGTCTTCAGGAATAAGGTCTTTCCTTCAGGTTCTGGGAAGTAATAAAGGGCTATGTCAAAAGCCTGTGCCATTTGGGGAGTCTCTTAAGCTACCCTGGAAGGGAGGTTTTTCCTGTCTGGCACTGTGCTTCTTATTATATAGCCTTCAGGTATACACATGCATTCATGTTCAGATATTGTATGGATATTTTTGAAGGGTTTTTTGAGTAGATACATATCCCTCTGACGTTTTACATCACTGAAACTTTAT